TGTTACTATAGGTGATTAGTATCAGTTAAATTGTAACTTGCCCTTTAAATCGCCGCTACATTCTGAATAAATTATTAATTAATTATTTATTAATATTCTCAAATCAAGAAGTGTTTTTAAACAATAATGGATGGCAGTGAACAACAGGAGTATTTGATCGCGATTTCGATTACCGCCGTAGTTTGCAGAATTATGCACAATGTGTAGTGTTATTTAATTTACAATTTATATTTAATATCGTTACATGCGGATCAGCACATGTTTAGGGACGTGTGGCACTTTGATATCTGTATGGATTAAATTTGGAATCACAACTAATGGTTAAAAAAAGATCATCGACAAAAATCTGTTTTCACTAATTTTATTGAAACAGATAATATAATAGCAGATAACAGAAATAATGAATTTCATGTACATACACACAAGCTGAAATTCTGAAGAATCATGTGAATATCTATTTACATTTGAGAAATAATTTGATAGTAAATAACGCATTTCATACACATACCAATGCATACATACAAGCTGAAATTCTGAGAACTGAACAATCGTGTGAATATCTATATACATTATTATTTATCTTCAGATTTGCAACATATAACCCGATAATTCAAACGTCAACCCGACCGTTTCACGAATTGTCCGTGTCAAGGCGACTGCAGTTCGGTCGCTTTATTTTAAAAGATAACTGATATTAAACTATACAATTGACTGAGCTATATCCATTTGAGGTTAGGTAGTTTGAGAAAAAGCAAGTTAAAGATCGTTATGTTCTAAAACAAAATCAGAAAACAAAAGAGAATAGTCCATACATTAGTAATGTAGGTCTTGTATATTAAAACTTTTATGGGAATAAATTCTGTTCATGTCACCAGTTAATTAGCACCTTTGTGTTAGTGCTCAGGAGATTATGAATGTTGATTGGGTAATCGAGTTTAGCTTCTTGATTATCAAAGAAGCCGTCACAGCTAAACAGCTAAACGTATATTATTCTGTTACCTTCGTAACATGACTCGATTAAAATAAGGTTTTTCGTGTATGATAGGTCTACTGTTATTTTCAGGTACCGTAAAGGTATCAGAATCTGAACCCCAGATAGAGTAATGAACGTAGCCATGATACCACAATGGGCCGCGCCGGGTGTCTGGACCGAAAATGTTTACGTATTTTATGGGTTTTAAAACTCATTTGTCATTTGTATTCGTTAAAATTGGGATTGTCGATGATACTTTGGCCACATTTATAAACTAGAGATTCACCGCTTCACAACGATGCCTAGTATTACTTAAGGAGACTGATCAGTCGACCCTCTGCATTATCTATTTTTGAAATATAGTCAGAATGGCCAGCTCTTTATCTAAATCTTAGTATTGAACATCCTTTACGTTTCAATATTTCAGACCCACTGGTTGATGGCTATCTTAAAATTTTGTGATTTAGTTAACAGGAATAGAGATAGAAAGAACAGATACAGGTAGACGAGGAGATAAAAAAAGCTTTTAATAGAGCGCGGCCATTGCTCTGTTGATGATTATCTTTACGAGGAAAATAATGTCACAATAATGGAAACGCCAGAAATGAAATTGGCTAATGAAGACTGGCATATGCCATACAGTGTGGCGGCACCATGGCCTACTCTTATATTGAATTCCAACTGCCAATTGACCTGTTACGTGCACGCCAATGTATTACAGGATCTTGGTTTTTTGTCCCATCCAAACGACAAGACGACTGTCCTTGTCACACCCGCCGTCCTGCACCACTGATAAGGGGAAACCAGATGAACTTTCTCGGGTAATGCAGGGATCGTGTCTAGCAAGCCGGCGTCTTTATTTTTATCTTACCCACTTTAGCCACCGTGGCTCTCCGAAACGCGAGAAAAGTCCACAACATAAAGGGGCGAATTTACAAACAAGTCGGCGTCACTAGTGTATGTAGAAGTAAAACGGTGATTTATTTTGTGGAAGAGTTGCAAAATTGATTACAGCCCACATGAAACTAATATTTTGTAATGTGGATTGGGTTGGTAATTTTGTGCTCTGTGATAAATCGTTTTACTATTATGTAGTAAGAAAAGAAAATATGAATTGAAAGAACTATATCAACCTTCGGTTTTTATCCACGCCTCTCTTGCACGCGTACTAAGATGATAAATCGTGGATACTCTCTCTCCCTCTCTGGATAACCATAGCGTGGATGGGTATGCTGTGGCGGTCTTCATGTAATTTTATGAATTGTTTTTATTGAATGAATGATGTTTTCAAAAGGTAATAAAATTAACTGCCAAACAACTCGTTATCCCGTTCAAAAATTGTAGTTATAAAAGCTAATTTCTGAAAGGTAAAAGATATTCACACGACTCCTCAGTGCTCATAATTTCATCTTACATGTTTGTTTCAATAAAAGTAGTGAAAATATATTTACTTTGTTCTTTCTTAACCATTAGTTGTCATTCCAAATTGAATCCATACAGATATCAACACATAATAATCAAGAAGCTAAACTCGATTACCCAATCAACATTCTTAATCTACTGAGCACTAACATCAAGGTGCTAATTAACTGGTGAGATTAACAGAATTTATTCCCATAAAAGTTTTAATATACAAGACCCACTTTACTAATGTATGGAATATTCTCTTTCGTTCTAAATTATAACACCAAGAGAAATATTAAACAAAATTAACAGTGCATACAGTGTATCAGTAATATTTATCGTGTGCTAAATAAAACAAAATTCTAAAATATTAATAGACTCTCCCGTGCTTATAATTTCAGTTTACTTGTATGCATGAAATTCATTTTTTTTTGTACGATCATATTTCATTTTAGAAATGTATATCGTACCTTATATGTTATTACTATTTTCATCGTTATATATATTGTTTAATAGTTATTATTTCTCAAATGTAAATAGATATTCACACGATTTTTCAGTGCTCAGAATTTCAGCACATTGTGCATAATTCTGCAAACTACGGCGGTAATCGAAATCGCGATCAAATACTCCTGTTGTTCACTGCCATCCATTATTGTTTAAAAACATTTCCAGATTCGAGAATATTAACAAATAAATAATTAATTAATAATTTATTCAGAATGTAGCGACGATTTAACGGGCAAGTTACAATTTAACTGATACTAATCACCTATGATAACAATATTCAATAGAAATTTATATAGTTAACGATTTCACGCTCTACTGGTGTCGGGTCCAGTTACTGACGCACATCAAAGATAACTGGCGGCTTCACTCAGATAGTGAGCGGTAGTTCAAAAACTGAAGTTTTCTTAATTAGTCACGGTTTTTCCAATTTCTCCCGCACGCGTCTGGCTAGTGATATGTTTGGATAAACTCACGTTTGTTTAATTAGTCACGTTATTTTTGAATACTGACACAAATAAGGAATACTAACCAATTAACTTAAATACTCACCTTATGACTATTACTGACCATTTATAGGAATACTGACGTACGGTGCAAGTACTAACGGGTTTAAGCGACTACTGATAACACATATATTTCTCACGAATTTCCATGAATAGTAACCACAATGAACCTTTTCTAATTTAAGGATATTCTAACACAGAGGCCATTTAGTCAATATTTAGAGATGGGTTCTACACACTATGCATGTTACTGTGTCTACGAACAACTAATATCAAAACGTTTGATCATAAAGTATTAATTTCAGTTTCATTAAGAGTTGAAAATAGCAATTAGTCACGTTTTTTCCAATTTCTCCTGCACGCGTCTGGCTAGTGATATGTTGGGATAAACTCACGTTTGTTTAATTAGTCACGTTATTTTTGAATACTGACACAAGTAAGGAATACTAACCAATTAACTTAAATACTCACCTTATGACTATTACTGACCATTTATAGGAATACTGACGTACGGTGCAAGTACTGACGGGTTTAAGCGACTACTGACAACACGTATATTTCTCACAAGTTTCCATGAATAGTAACCACAATTAAGCTTTTCTACTTGCTTGATGGATATACTAACACATAAGCCAGTTAGTCAATACTTAGAGATAGGTTCTACACACTATGCATCCAGCAGTGAGAGTTCAAGGTCATCATATATGTGAAGGTCGCTGAACAATTAGGTCACCAGATAGTAGGGTAGGGTCTTCAGCAATGGAAAAATTTCAAAATGGAATTTAAAAAATCAGCTCCCTATGAATTTGCGAAAATCGTATTCAAGGTGGCGATTTGAAGCTTTCTTGAAAAAAAACGAATTTGATGACCAAATGGTTGAAAATGTTATCGAACAAGGTATCTTAAAATGAACTAACACCATTATATGTTATTTTTAGTCTATTTAAAAGTGGAGAGAACTATTCATGTTTTTGAAAAATCAAAAGGCCTTCTCAGAAGTCTAAAGAATCAAAAAATGAAAACCTTACAAAGATTCATTCAGAAATAACCGAGATATTGTGCTATCCATAAAACAAACAATTTATTTTTAAAAAATAATGCTGCTGAGGCCAACAAAATTTATGAGGGCAGAATGTTTGCACGCTGCACACTCTTGGCTGCAATTTCTGATTAACATCCACAAAAAAAATATATTATAATAAAAACTCTTTCAAAAATAAAAGATATTGAATTGGGCTCTGTCAATCTGTGCCAGTTTTTGGTATGGTATTTCCATATACCGTAATTTCTCAGATACTATTGAAGACATTTATGTAGAGTTATATGCATAGATTGATATATTAGTACAGTAGATGTATTTCACATATTGTACTGTTTCTGTTAACAAATTTTTACAAATGATTATTCCTGGTACCTTCCCAAAACTTTCCAAGGGCATAAACATGTTGATGAACAATTTATCTCATTTTAAATGGATAAGCCATAAATGCTTTAAGGAAATAAGTGACATATTTTCTATTGTCATTCCATTGCAAACTTTGTTTTCCAGAAAATTGTATTAGTAAAGTTCCAAATATTTTCCTTAATAAGATTTATTTTATTTTGTACAGGCAGCAGAAGCTGAAACAACTTACAAAGCTTGTGTAGCAGAAACTAACTACAGACATAAAGAACTAGAGAAAACTAAGGTAAATACTAAAATGAAATGAAAATATCAATTTAAAGTTATTTGGTATGTTTATAATTAACCTCAAATGATTGACATCTTTTTATACGCCCACATTGAAATGTGGTCGTATATTGTCGTCTCCCCCGTCCGTCCGTTGGTCCGGTGTCCACAATTGCTTGTGGACACTCTAGAGGTTATTATCCGATTGACTTTAAATTTATATACAGTGTTTAAGGTCATGAGACGAAGAAGCCTAATGATTTTCAGCAATTTCCGATAATTACTGCCAGAGTTATGGCCCTTAATCACTTCAAAAAATCTTGTGAACGCTCTAGAGGCTAAAGTTAATATCAGATTGACTTTAAATTTATACACAGTGTTTAAGGTCATGAGATGAAGAAGTCTATTGATTTTCAGTGATTTTCGATAATTGCTGCCACAGTTATGGCCCATGATCACTTCAAAACATCTTGTGGACGCTCTAGAGGCTAAAGTTAATATCCGATTATACACAGTGTTTAAGGTCATGAGACGATGAAGTCTATTCATTTTCAGTGATATTCGATAATTACTGCCAGAGTTATGGCCCTTGATCACTTTGAAAAAAAATCTTGTGGATGCTCTAAAGGCTAAAGTTAATATCCGATTGACTTTAAATTTATACACAGTGTTTGAGGTCATGAGACGGAGAATCTTATTGATTTTCATTGATTTCCGATAATTACTGCCAAAGTTATGGCCCTTGATCACTTTGAAAAATCTTGTGACGCTCTAGAGGCTAAAGTTATTATCTGATTGACTTCAGATTGATACACAGAGTTTAAGATCTTGAGACGATCAAGTATGTTGATTTTCAATGAATTTTTATGACTTGAACAGCTAAATCCATGATATTAAAAGTTTCGTATACTAAACGTTAGCATGGGGCAGAACTTTATAAAAACCAAACAAATTCTAATGGTTTTCTGATAATTACTTCATGAGTTGTTACTCTTAATCAGATTTTAGTGTATTATAAATTTGTCATTACCGAAAAGAGTAAAAATATGCGACAACACTTGTTGACTCCCCAGACGACTTAGCTGCTGTGGGTTATGTTTCGTTGCCTGGCAACCTATCTTTTACGTTTCAGGCTGAACTATTGGCAAAAGTTAGAGAACAGATAGAATTATGTGATCAAGTTATGAAAACGGTAAGTTACAAAATACTTGTCTTCATCACTTAAACTATTGTCACTTGGTGAGAAGTATATTTTTATTTAGTCCTCTGGTTTCCTCCCACTGCTAAAGACCCCTACGCGCAAGTGAATTATTGAAATAAAATTGAACCATATGTTAGTCCCGAAATGACCTAGTTTGTGTTGAGTGGATGTTAAACCCCTCCCTCTCTCTCTCTCTCTCTCTCTCTCTCTCTCTCACTCTCTGATCCCATTAAAGCATGGTCCTTTATTGTCATCAGTAATTTCAAAACTTTTGTGGATGTTCTAAAGGCAAAAGCTATCATCCAATTGACATGAAATTATACATAGTATTTATCTTCATCAGACAACGAAGTCTTGATTTTCGAAGTTGATTAATTTGAAAAATATGGTAGGTGCTCTACTCTATACTGTAGCTAGTTAGTGTTTTTATATGCCCACATTGAAATGTGGTCGTATATTGTCGTTGACCCCCTTCCGTCCAGCGTCCACAAGCAATTGTGGACGCTCTAAAGGCTAAAGTTAATATCCGATTGACTTTAAATTTATACACAGGGTTTAAGGTCATGAGACGGAGAAACCTATTGATTTTCAGTGATTTCGATAATTACTTAATGAGTTGTTACTCTTAATCAAATTTGAGTGTATTATAAATGTTTCATTACCGAAAAAAGTAAAAATATGTGACAACTCTGTTGACTGCCCGGACAATTTAGCAGCTGTGGGCATATGTTTTGTTGCATGGCACCCTATCTTTTTATACGCCCACATTTTCATGTGGATGTATATTGTTGTCACCTGTCCGTCTGTCCACAATTTGTTTGTGGACTCTCTACAGGTCACAATTCTTGTCCGATTTTGACGAAACTTGAAATATATGTTTATCCCAAAAGATCTCGGCTGCTTTCGATATTAGCATGTATCGGATCGAAACTTCATGGATTATGGCCCCTGAAGCCTATTGATTTTCAGCGATTCCCGATAATTACTGCCAGAGTTGTGGTCCTTGATCACTTTGAAAAATCTTGTGGGCGCTCTAGAGGCCAAAGTTAATATCCGATTTACGTTAAATTTATACACAGTGTTTAAGGTCATGAGTCGATGAAGCCTATTGATTTTCAGCAATATCCGATAATTACTGCCAGAGTTATGGCCCTTGATGACTTTGAAAAATCTTGTGGACTCTTTAGAGGCCAAAGTTAATATTCGATTGACTTTAAATTTATACACAGTGTTTAAGGTCATGAGCCAAAGAAGCCTATTAATTTTCACCGATATTCGATAATTACTGCCAGAGTTATGGCCCTTGATGACTTTGAAAAATCTTGTGGACTCTTTAGAGGCCAAAGTTAATATTCGATTGACTTTAAATTTATACACAGTGTTTAAGGTCATGAGCCGAAGAAGCCTATTAATTTTCAGCGATATCCGATAATTACTGCCAGAGTTATGGCCCTTGATGACTTTGAAAAATCTTGTGGACGCTCTAGAGGCTAAAGTTAATATCTGATTGACTTTAAATTTATACACAGTGTTTAAGGTCATGAGACGGAGAAGCCTATTGATTTTCAGCGATTTCCGATAATTACTGCCAGAGTTAAGGCCCTTGTTCACTTTAAAAAATCTTGTGGACCCTCTAGAGGCGAACGTTAATTTTTGATTGGCTTTAAATTTATACACAGTGTTTAAGGTCATGAGCCGAAAAAGCCTATTGATTTTCAGCGATATCCGATAATTACTGCCAGAGTTATGGCCCTTGATGACTTCAAAAAATCTTGTGGACGCTCTAGAGGCCAAAGTTAATATTCGATTGACTTTAAATTTATACACAGTGTTTAAGGTCATGAGACGAAGAATCCTATTGATTTTCAGCGATATCCGATAATTACTGCCACAATTATGGTTGCCTGGCAACCTATCTTTTAGCTTGTGGTCACTCTGAAGGTCACAGTTATTATCTGATTTTAAAAATCGTTTGAATATATCACCGTAACACCATAATAAAGGTTGAGTTCAAATTTCCTGAAAATCAAACCAAAACTGCCGGACAAAATGGCCGCAGCTTGTATGCGAAAGGTGTAAAAATATGGTATATCAAGGTTGTGGACCCTGTAGAGGTCACAATTTTAATCTGATTTTGATCAAACTTGAAATGCATGTTTATAACCAAAAGATCTTGGTTCCTTTCGATATTGGCGCATATCGAATTGTAACTTCATGAATTATGGCCCTTGATTGTAGGAAAAATCACATTTTTTTAGCTTGTTCTCTATCCTTCTCTCGAAAATCTTGGCGTATCCTGCCTGGCAGCCGCTGGTTTTAAATGCATCCACTGTCTACAACCTCAAACAACTTAGCTGCTGTAAGCATATATGTTTCGTTGCCAACAATCTATCATTATGATTACGTATATGATGAATGTTTTAAATACTAGGTGACAGTAGAATATTTCCAGTTATTACATGCTGTATCAGCTCCATTACCAGTACAGGTACTACTATAATTCATTATTATGCACACATAAATTAGCAGTTATCTTTAAAAATTTAAAACTAATTAATATTGTTGACATATATTTGTTAGAATATACTAGTAGACAAACTTTGGCATCCTCATTTATGATATCTTTAGTTCGTTTTAGAAAACTTTTTTAATCAAATTGTTTTTGGAGACATTCTGTAGATATATGTCAATCAAATCTGCATGTTTGAGATTGAAGTTCAAATATTGAAAAATATACTAGTAGACAAACTTCGGCATCCTCATTTATGATATCTTTAGTTCTTTTTAGAAAACTTTTTTAATCAAATTGTTTTTGGAGACATTCTGTAGATATACGTCAATCAAATCTGCATGTTTGAGATTCAAGTTCGAATATTGAAAAATGAGCTAGTTGTTTTTCGTTATTCGCCAATATCAAAAACAAAAATCGAGGTAACTTCACACTGCCATAAACTTCATTATATATACATATAGAGCAGTTTGAAATAAAACAATCAAGTTAAAGCTGCGATTCACCAGAGGGTTAATAAACTTTTTATCTGTTTAAGAAGTAAGTGTTGATAAGTGTTTTTTATATAGTAATTAAAATCTTTGATTAGAAACTATCTTGATCGCGCAGTTATGGATAGAAATGAGTCATCCTTCAAGCTGGAAATATGGCATACATGTGCCCCGTCTTCATTAGCCTGGATGGTGCAGGAAAGTAGGATGTTAAACCTCATTTTTCATTTCTTTTCATATTTATACACTTATCGCCCTATTTCAATTGGATTGTGAACGCAATAGAGGCTACAGTATTTAACATATTTTTTATATGCCCACATTTTTGTGTGGATGTAGATTGTCGTTGCCCCTGTCTGTCCACAATTTGTGGACAATTTTATTCTGATTTTGACGAAACTTGAAATAATGGTTTATCTCCTAAAGTAGGGGTTTCAGGTCAAAGTTTCAAATGACAAGATGTTTTTTTTCAAATATTTTGTGAAAATATACATAAAATAATAATAGTAATAATAATAGTTTATTTTTATATGCTACCCTTTTTTTTTTATTTCATCAAAATATTCTAATTAGATCCAAAGTTATGGAATTTTAAAATCTGAGATCGTCGTCAATGATGTAATCAAAATGCTCTATACCAGTCAATGGCACCAAAATAAGGGCATACCGTATTTTTCGGTGTATAAGGCGCACTTTTTTAACCAAATATTTTATTTTCTAGAAGGGGTGCGCCTAATACATAATGTTAAGCGAATCCAGGCTTTTCCCGTGTAGACACCGAAGTCGGGAGTTCAACAAATAACTGCCCTATAATCAACACATGTCGACCGGGTGACGCTACCTCAAAAGTTTATGATAAATTACCACACAAATTAAACACAATACTGTTTCCTTTCGTGTCCATTTATATTTGTCAGTAATATTTTAGATAGTTTAAAATTCGTCAATAATTATCGCCCGTATTTCTGTTATTTCGTGCATAAAAATTAAAAAAGATGTCAACATTTTAGGCTATCCCGTGTACAGTATAGTGTTTGTCATAACCGGCAATGCAAACACCATCGGCCGATAGCCGTTCAATGTTAACGATGTTTTAAAAAATAGCATACGTATCGTTAATATTTCTTGCTAATTCTACATCGTATATTTCTGCTATTCCGTATACTCTTGGCCATTATCGGCAGTCCTCGCACATCCCCGTTCAAGGTCAGTGGTGCTGTCAGTCAAGTTGACGAATAGGGCGGGATATGCATTCATACAAGCATTTCCATTGGCTCAATATAAGTCATTGGTAGTAAGGGTGGGATTAGAGTTAAACTGACATATATTGAAGTTGTTCTCTTATCGCCCGTATTTCTGTTATTTCGTGCATAAAAATTAAAAAAGATGTCAACATTTTAGGCTATCCCGTGTACAGTATAGTGTTTGTCATAACCGGCAATGCAAACACCATCGGCTGATAGCCGTTCAACGTTAACGATGTTTTAAAAAATAGCATACGTATCGTTAATATTTTTTGCTAATTCTACATCATATATTTCTGCTATTCCGTATACTCTTGGCCATTATCCCCGTTCAAGGTCAGTGGTGCTGTCAGTCAAGTTGACGAATAGGGCGGGATATGCATTCATACAAGCATATGAATTGAAGTTGTTCTCTTGTCTACGATATCACCCCTGGTGGAAGTGGGCGGCAAACTCTAGAAACGACGACAACGAAGTTGTTCTGTCTAACCTGTTCTCGAAACGGCAAATCTTCACGCCGTCTATGATTGACAGTTAACCCATTCTTTCTCAATGTGTGGATAACATGCGGCGCTCTATCTATTTGCTTTATCTATTACCGCACTCTTTAGCGGTTCGTCTCGTAGTCATTCTGAATAAATTTATTTACTATACATTGCTGTAACTTATATATTTAGCCGTTTCAAGTTACCGATAGTTTTCATGCAACGAAGATTCACTGATTAACCTATTGTTATAATTTACCGGTGTCGTTAATTATCTACCGGTGAGTTGTCATCGTATGCTTTATGAAGTTGTTTGTTGTTCACAAAATCATTGTTTCTTTGATTGGTATTAAAAATGCTATTGTCTTATGATACTGATAGATATAAATGGCCTCAATCTAGGTATTGTCATGCTTCGTGTAGTGGGCAAGACAATTGACACAATCGTTTGATTGTCAGTTGTTTGGATAGTATAAAATAAACTAGAATTATTGTTTCTCTTTTTACCGGTAGTCAGGATTTAAGCCGTGAGTAACTGATCATGATAATTATTTCTACAGTTTTTTATTTCATTTGTTTATCATCAATACCTATTCATTTATCACAGCCAATTGCTCGTGAATTTAACAGGATGTAATAGACAGCCATTTGTGTTGTGGGCGGGACTCTAACGACAATTTGACTACCGTACAAGCGCCAGAATTACCACTTAAGTTATGAAACAATTCAATTGAAAGTTGTAATTAATATAAAGTCTTATGCAATTCAAAAAATGTATATAGAGTTTAATTTCATAAAGAAATATATATAAAGCTTGATACAGCTAAATATCGGTAATTATTATAACTGTAAACAGTAAAGTTTGGCTCAGTTACTGGAGATCGCAGGTGTATTTGAATCACGTATGGTAACTATGGTATGGCACCTGTTTCACAAGGCGCTGGAGAAGGGTGTGCCTAAACCATGCATTTTTATTTTTTCCTGAAACACCTCTGCCAAACTCGCCCTGCGCCTTATCTACGCATGCGCCTAATACACCGAAAAATACGGTAAGCGGTATTTTCCCTTCAGAATTGTAGTACCAATTTTAAAACTGAAATCCGCACGTTATAGTCATCTAAGATTTATTAAAATCATAATAATTTGAATGATAATATGTCAAATATTTATAATCTGGATGATACCACAAAAAAGTAGGCTATAATTAGTTGAAATTTAGCAAATTTCAGTCAGCAAAACACATAAATCCCGTTTTTTACGGCTGTAATTGTCGGATCTCGGGGTATCGCGCACCATAACAATCATAAATATGTTATCTATTGTTTGATTGGTTCTATATGAAAATCTGCCGGAAACTAACGTGCGGATTCACCAATGAAGTGAGTCGTAGCAATGAAAAATCCCCGGTCGCGTGACATCAGAGCGGTATTTTCCCGCGAGCGTCTCCTGTAAATAAACGGTAATTTTGCTTACATTTCGATTGTTTTTGAGCCCGAATCTTTGTAGATATTGAGATTGATATTAAACTATTACAATGCAATTGCTAGTTATACATTTTACATAAAATGGTAATTCAGAATCGTAGATTGAAGTGGGCTTTATTTCAGCCGCTGGATGTCCGATTTCACGCTAAAGTCACGTGACCTGAAACCCCTACCTAAAGATTTCGGATCCTTTCAATATTGGCGGCATGTATCGGACAGTAACTTCATGGCTCTGATTGTACGAAAAACATGGTTTTTTTTAGCTTTTGGACCCTCTATAGGCCACAATTTTTATCCAATTTATCACCGTTACACCATAATGATATGAGTTTGAATTTAATGAACAACGGACCGAAACTGCCTGACAAACAGGCCATTCCCCATACGGAAAAAGGTTGTGGACCCTATAGAGGTTACATTTTTTTTTTATCAGATTTCAATGAAACTTAAAATATATGTTTATGGCATGTTTTTTTTTTTAAAAGGGCACCATAGGTTCCCAATCCCATCTGAATTATGAAATTCCAATTCCTCTTACAAAATCCCTGTCTCAGGGAAGATTGATACATATTCTTCCAAAATATATTTTAAAAAAGATAATTTTTTGCAAAATAATTTTTTTTATTGAACATTATATCTAACATATTGGAATTTTTTGAATCGTATCACTCTAGATGAAATTATATCAAATGCAAACAATGCACATTAAAATTCATATAAATAGCAATCTCTATAGGTAGAATATACTTTGAATTATGTTAAATGAATGAAGATGCTATTATTTTTGGGTCATAAGACAGTAAAGATGACCATTTTGGTAAATATAAAATGTCTCTTTTGAATTGGCACATTTATTTTCCTTTCAGATATTAACTGTTGCTTATATATATTAATAATTTTCTTCAAAAGTTTAATGTAATAATACATTATCTAAACCTGAAGTTTTATGGGATATGATTTACAAATTAATTTTTAATTTAAAAATTAATTGCATTGCAAATGTTAAATGTGGACAGACATTCTGGCAGATTTGTAACATTAGCACTAAAGTTTGAAGAAAATTTCTATTTATAGTGTTGATGTAAAAGTAGTTACTGAGATTTTTTACATGCTAAATAAAGCATAATATTAAGAATTTAAGATTAATATAATAACATATAATCATATATTTTAATAACCTAAAATTTAAACATTTATCGGGCATGCAACTGTTGCTAACGTTACATAAGGACAGACGTGGACATTTTATAAATAACTGTATTACTTGAATTATTG